ATGTCACCCTTTCAACGCCTGTCGGTACAAGTACTACTCCGGCCGCTCATAAGCAGGTCTCCCACCGCCGCTTCAGCCTGAGGTCCGCTCCGAACCCCGCTTCTGCCCCTCGGTGCTCCCCGCTCTTTGTAGCCTCTCCGCAGTATACACTGAACCCCCGTTCCGCAGTCGGCCGTGACCCCCGGCGTCCGCCGATGCCCGAATTCCCCCGCAGTAAGCTTCTCAGAACCTTGTGCATTTGGTCTACCTTTCTCCGCTTTCCCGCGCCTTGGAAAGCTAGACTTTCCACTACTGCACCGCAGCTTTCCTCAGCCTGCTTGTGTAGCGTCAGCTCCGCGTGCTTTCCGCATCAGCCCCGCAAGCATTCCGCATGCCCCAAACAAGCCGACCAAAGCTTTGGCCCAGGTGCGCTCCCGCCACCACAATGGCCAAGTGGGTGTCGGAGGAGAGCCAGCAACCTCCTCAACTGTTCTGCGGCATGACATGGTTGGCTTGGCAATCAGCTCATCGATGTGCTGGTCGTGAGGTTGGGCCGTCCTCGTATATGTCAGTTCCTGGTCACGATGAATGCAAAAACAAGAAAAAATCAGAAGAAGAAAAAATAACAATAGAAATGCAAACCTCATGAGTGTATCAATGCTGGGGGTTGATAAGCGCAAGCCAACCCCCCACGCGCACGCCAGCTGCAGATTGGCGTGCGTGTGGGGGGTTGGCTTGTGCTTATCATCCCCTATCAATGCTGTTCAAGGTATCAATGTTTTTCCGAACATCAAATTCATTTGGAGGTCAATTGTTGATGAATTGGTGATCCAATGAGTTGAGGCAAAGAGGTTGACTTTAGAGATGGTCAAAGGGTATCCGTCGCGGATACCCGCTGTAAGACTCAAAAGTGGTTGTGAGAACCCTTTTGCTGAATGTTGAAGGGTATGGTGGAGTTGCAAGCTCTGCCCTTCTGTACTATCAGATAACAAGACCCACCAAGCTCAGCTTGGCAAGTTTTAATCAAGTGATAGGGGTGGTTGGTTCGAGAATAAGTTGTTTGATCGCAATATAATTGTATGAGAGCAGAGGTTTTGAGAGTATGAGAGTGATTTTAGTGTGTATTACAAGTGTAAGGGTTGTTATTGGGTGTTATAAAGGTTGTTACAGTATGTAATGGTAATGGTATGGTATGTAATGGTAGGGGGTATGTGATTTGTGGGTACTAAACTGAGGGGAAAAACAACTGGGAGGAGAGCCTCCTTAAATAGACCACAATGAGTGATTTTGGCTCCAAGGGAGCAAGAGAATGAGAGATTTTAGCTGGTCAGAGCTGTACAATGAGGTATTTTGGCTAGTTGTACAGCCTACATGATGTAATTTGAGTTATTTTAGCTAGAAGAGGCAGTGTAAATGAGGGGTTTGTGCTAGCCTAGCAATCTGCATGATGTCATACAGAGTGCATGAGCTATCCTGACAGCTTCAGACAGATTATCACATGACCTGACAAGCTGCATATGCTGTACACCTGACCTGACAAGCTGTGTAAGCTGTACACATGTCAGAAGATTATGATGTCATATGTTTACCTGTGTCCTGTAGTGAATTATTTGTGTAATTTGTGTTGTGTAGTTGTCCTGTGGGGTTGATTGAGTGTAATTGAGTGTTGTACATATCCAGAGGTGTGTAACATCCATACCAGTAGAGTTACAGAGATGCCTCCAGTGGTGACCATGGGTGAAATGGGCCCTAGAGTCCATTTCTTAAGTCCAAATAAGTGTTAAGTGAGAGGAAATATAAGAAAAAATGATAAAGAAAAGAATAAAAAAGAAATAATAAAAAACTTTGAATTTTTACACATTCAGCTACCACACCGCTATCCCCTGGCGGATACATGCCAGAGCCAGCGGATATTAGCCAGGGGATACGGATACGGATTTGGATGTGCCCTTTTCCCAGAAATTTGCGCGGGTATTTGGATATCCCCAGGGATACCCAAGACCAATGGCCGGCTGGAAGGGTTTCCTTCCAGTCGGCGAGGAATGTACCTTGTCGGCTGGAAAGGTTTCCTTCCAGCCGGGGAGGTACGTGTACCTTGTCGACTGGAAGGGAAACCACCAGCTCGATGCACGAACACAAAGCTTACCTGCAAAGGGAGTTCAATCCGCTCTTGTTAGTCTCCTTGCTCGCAGCTGACTCGATGGCCGACTCATCCCAGCCGCCCTGTCAGCTTTGGCTTGGTGATAGAGATGTCGCTCGATACCCGGGTACCTGTAGCGGGTGCGGGTACCTGCCTCAAAAATCTAGTATTTTTGACACCCGCACCTGCTAGGGCCGCCAGGGCGGGTACCCAGGTACCTGCGCCAGGTACCTGCGGGTACCTGGCACATTTTTGCAGGCAAATATACCCAGAAATCTCACCGTTGAATTTCTGCATGACTTGGTAAATATAAGATTGATATTCACTAGATATATGAGTAAGAATAAAATAGAAATAAAGAAATAAAGAAAAACAAATTATTCTATCACCAATTTGAATTTTATCTTCTCTATGATCTATCTTTAGCTTTACCCTTTTGCTTGGCCTCATTTGCCTTATTCAATGTCCATTGATGAAGACTGTACACCGTCTTTATGACTGGAGGAATTCCTCCAGTCATCAAGACTGTACACCATCTCAAAGGCCGGAGGGAAACCTCCGGCCTCAACAAAGCAACCAGATTAGTTCAGAAACACATGTAAGACACCAGCTGGTGTCCTACCACCCGCACCCGCACCCGGTACCTGTTTCCGGGTACCTGCTTTGGAAAACAGGTACCTGCAAACGGGTACCGGGTACCTGCTGACATCTCTACTCGGTGAAGATGAGGACGACGGTCTGGATTCATAGGCCAGCCTTATTGACCTCCTCAATGCTTCACCTGCCCTTCCCAAATCTTCCAACCAGTCTCATCTCTCCCCCACCTGGCCTCGGCCTCGTCGCTCAAACACTTGCCATGCTCAGAGTAGCTCTTTGGCTAGGCAAGTAAGCCGTTTAGGAATGGGTGAGTAATCCTTACACATCATCAGCTTGGATTTTGAATTCATCACATTAGAAAATCAATCCAAAAAGAAAACTGTAATTGTCCTTATTAGACGTAAAACTAAGAAATTTGTACAAAACATTGCAACAAATGATATAAATCCTTGAATAGATAACCTAGAGAGACAAGCAGTGTAGTGGCAATTAAAATTTATTTACAGTGTGACTGGAACTCAGCAAAAAGAATGCTTGGAACGCCTTGAAGGCCAATGTTTAACCGAGTGAAGATCGTTATCTCAACAGATATCAGTGAAGGAAGGCAAGGTAGAAACATGCAAGCTTGCTTGAGGCTGAGCAAAATATCCCTGATTCTTCTTAACACAGCTTTTCTCTTAGTTTCTCATTCAGTTGAGCTAACATAATAGGAGAGCAGTGGGTAGACTAAGCGGACAGTGGGTTCAGATGGAATGAGGATCATGGGATCGCAGGCACCAAGGCCTTCAAAAAAGAGAGTGCGAACATCAAATAGGCCGACAAGGTACACGTACCTCGCCGTCCATTTAGAGGGCGGGTATCCGAGGATATCCGCTCGGATACCCGCCAAGGCGGGGGATACCCGCTGGCGGATGCGGATGCCGCTTTCCCTGGAAAAAGCAACCGGATATCCGCATCCGCGCGGATATCCGGATGCAAAGTGACCATCTCTAGTTGACTTGCACCCCCACACTGCAGTTTAGTGTGCAGGTGCAAGTCAACTTGTGACAGTTCACCCCCAGACATAAACATCTGGGAGGATACTGTACACTGAATATTTTGGCATAGCAGGAAACCACAATTTGGCCAAATTTTACATGCACATTCATTATTTGTTAGGGATAGAACCACAAGCTGGTCATTAGGTATTTACAAGTCAGGGCTAGAACCACAACTTGGCCATTTAGAGATTATTGGTTGGGGCTAGAACCACACATCAGCCAGTGTAAAAAGTGATTGTAAGACCCTTTTTGCTGAATGGAGAAGGGGATGGTGGAGGTGCAAGCTCTGCCCTTCTATACTATCAGATAACAAGACCCACCCAGCTCTGCTTGGAAAGCTTTAATCAAGTGATAGGGTAATTTCAGAAATGAGGTTGTGTGATGCTGAGAATGAGCTTAGTTGTTATTGGTGTTTGGTAAGGTTCTGCAAAGGTGGTGTATCTTTGATTGAGTGGTACTAAACTGTGACTGATTAATCATACACTGAGGAGACAAAAGCTGGGAAAAGAGCCTCATTATATAGAAAATAGTGAGGTAATTTAGCTCCAGGGCAGGCAGTAATGAGTGATTTTGGCTGGCCTGGGCTATTACATGAGTGGTTTTAGCTACATACATAAGTTGAATGAGTGAAGGTGGTTGGTCAGACATGTACAAGAGTTAAACTGGGGAGCCAAACATTTGAAAGAGTGATTATTATTGGTCAGGTTCTGTTGTGTTTACAAGTGAATTTTATGGTGTCATGTGCAGTAGAGATGTCAGCAGGTACCTGTTTTCCAAAGCGGTTACCCAGAAACGGGTTCTGGGTGTGGGTGTGGGTGTCAACTTTTGGGGTGAAAAAACGGTGGGTACCCGGACCAGGTACCTGCCTTACGCCCACCCTGCAGGTGTAGTTGATGATAGGCTTCCCACACATCACAGGAGTCTGCATATTCCTCCCGGAGAAACAGCTCAGGAGGCAGGATTTCTTCCTGTGGATCAAATTTGATGAGATTGTCCAGTTAACATAGAAGTCAAGCTGGCCACAGCTGGGAACCATGTTTATCCAAGAAACGGCTACCGCTTCAACGCTGTCACAGATACGATACACTGTATGTATCATGGAGAATTCTGCAAAGCTGCATGGCCAAAAACCAAATTTGTTGAATCTCCTTGCAAATAAAATCAGATTGGTCAGATAGGTTTTTTTATTGGGGCTCAGATACATAGTGATACATGGCAGCTACCGTATCTGTGACAGCGTTGACCGCTTGTCCCAGACATCAATGGCCCTTCAACACTCACTCCTCCGTCTCCGCATTTCTGTTGGCCGCAAATCCTCCACCCGGCTCATCCACCTCTTCTGCAGACCAAGGGCCCGTCTTGAAAGCCTTGATCTCTGCCAAACTTGCTAGGAAGTTCCCTCAGGCTGCTAAGCTCCGGGTCAAAGACGTCTCAGGTCAGTTCTCTATCCATCTTCTCCATTCAGTCTCTGTCGTTTTTTTCTAGTTGAGGGTTGTTTCTTAGAGATCAACAGTCGTACTGATTCTTGGTTAGCTTTGCATTGATGAATGTTGCATGTTGTAGGACTCCTGGGACAGATAGACACGGTAAAGTATATGTATATCAAAAGATCCCTTGAGGGGGAAATAAATTGCAAATAGGTTGAAAGGCTATTACAACTTACGGGTGGTTTGAAAGACCTGCCCCTCTAAATGTACTAAACAAATAACTAAGAGTCTTGTAATCAATATTTAATAATGTATGGCAGATTCCAAGATAGATCTTACTTTTGTAAAGTAATCTCTATCAGACCTAGATCACGTATCAATCTACTAATGAATCTGTTACAACTTCAGGTTAATAATGGAAACTGTGGTGCTGATGACTTGAGCAGGAAACAGATGAGTTGTTATAGAGTTTGTTAATGATCTCTTCCTCAAACAATTTCTTGCTAAGGCACTTTAATCAAAAACTAGAGCTCTGGTACTAATACTGCTACTACTTGTTATTGGTTAATTGTTAATGTACTACTACTTATATGATGACTACTACTACTAATATGCTTCAACTTCCGAATTCTTTGTTGGTTTCACGCTTACAATACTGTACTAACTCTCTACTTATCTCTAACTAACTCACTTACTAACTTATTCTTCAACTTGGGTGATCAAACTTAACGCAGTATGTAGGCTGATGTACTAACTTCACTAACTAACTAACTATCACTAATTCTAACTCTTCACTTTACTGACACTCCGGAACACTTCCAGTAGCTCAGGACCAACTTACTGCTCTGCGAGACTTCTGTAGGCTGATGGGGAGAAGGGACTTTCTGGTGGGGAGAGGCCCTTCTTTTATATTGAAGAGTGAGGGATTTCTGCTGCAGGGGACTCCTTGTGAGGGAATATTGCTGCAGGGGATCTCACCTTCACAGCCTTTGCCCACAGCCTCCAAACAAATAGCGCAGCTTACACGGCGAAAGGGGTTGTATCAGTTACAGCCCCCCGTGATAAGGTCGCCCGGAGGCGACCAATATCAGATTGGTCTCCTTGACCGATTTTATATTGGCCAGGCCCACCGATACATTTTTCCTTTGTTCTAATGTATCGGTGGGCCCAACCGATATAAAATCGGTCAATCAGACCGATCTTATATTGGTTGTCTCCGGGCGACCTTATCGCGGGGGGTTGTAACCAATACAACCCCTTTCAAAGTGTTATGCTGTGCTAGGAACACTTAACTCCAGACCTTGTCACATAATATGCATACAAGGGAGCACACAAGCGCAGCATGATGTCATGCATTGCCAGGCAACCAAGCCATCTTCCAGAACCAAGCGCAGCATGATGTCATGTGTTGCCAGTTAACCAAGCCATCTTCCAGAACACTCTGCATAGGCAGTACCAGCCTGCCAGACCTGCTGTTATCTCCTTCAATCCAGAGTTTTGGGGGTCAAAGCCTCTCCTCAATCCTTCCTTCCTCCCTCCACCTAAGGGTGTAACCCGAACCCTGCGCCCCGGGTCATTTCACGGGTGGTGACACCCGGGCGTTGGTCCGCGGGTTGACTCTCTGGAAGCACCCGAACACCCGGGTAGTTGCGGTGGGGAGGGGAGGAGTGGGGAGTAGGTGTTTGGGGAGATTGTAGCTTGGTATTTCATTGGGGCATCATCGGAGCTGTAATTACAACTTGTAGAAAGCGATATGAAATAAAAAAAAAGGATTGAGTTGTGGTGTGAAGGTGTAGTAGTCTAGTAGTAGTACTAGAGCGAGCCAGGATTCCAAGCATCTAACCGAGGTACATAAATAAGTTCAAACAACAGGCCTGGCAAATGACTGATACCAATCTTTGATGCAAAGAAGCTCTTCAACAGTTTGCGGGCCGAGTGAAGAGCGCGACCAAGAACAGACCCGACGACCTTTGGAAAAGACCCTCTCCAATGAAGTGCTTGTAGCCGGTATGGCTAGATAACATTGGGCCATTCTGGCCAAGGTTGGGAATGAGTGTTGTCGGCTGCGCCAGTAAGCAAGTAGCTTAGTTGTCTTAGGCTCCGGGTCTTCTTTTAGATATCGCTTGATCTCGGAATCAATCGTGTCGACCGGAGCGGTAGGTTCATAGAATTCGGAATCAAAGAAATCAATAACTGCCCTGCTGGCTGGAGCTTTATTAGACTGACTATCTTGATTGTTGGATCGAGGGTCCTTTTTGTACTTGTTGTTGAATTCATTTGCAAGATCATGAAATATTTCGAGTGCTTGCTCTCCTGAGATGTTGTAGTGTTTACCAATGAAGTCGGCATGTTTTTTCCAGAACGTAAGCTTGAAAGTTGGGTCGAGGATCATGGCACAGAAGTAGGCTGGTTTGGTGAGCGCATTGCGAATATAGAAATTGATTTTGTTGATCACATTGTTGGCTGGTTCAACGAGTTGAGCCTGTTTGTAAAGACCTCCTTTGAACAAATGAAGATGTTTCATCAACACCATATATACCGGTAACGCAGTGTTCAAAGTCGGATACTTTGATCCGCAGAGTTTTTCAGTTGCGTCGCTGAGTGGTGCAAGGAATTTCATAAAATTTTTGGCTTGATTCCATTCAGCTGATGTTAGAAGATAAGAAGCTGCCTCCTTGTTGGTTTGGCAGAAGTGATCGCACGAGTTCTTAAGAACAATCGCTTGTTGGAACATTTGAAAGGTTGAATTCCACCTGGTAGACACATCAATCTCCAGACAGGTGATTTTGGCACCACTTTCGCGAAGTTCGGGTTGTATAAAATTGACGACTTCCCGGAATCGTTCACGACGTTGTGGAGAGAACCGGACAAAGTTACATAGACCATGGACTCGTTTGAGGATGGTCTTCAAGTTGAGGCCGATACCATCAGGTTGAGTGGTCAAATTGGTGAACCTCATCACTGATTGAGCTGGTTGCGGTTCCTCATTCTTGACATCATTCGACAAGTCCATTTCCAAGGTTGGGAGATTGTCAATGTCTTTATCTTGGAGGCCAGTTCCTAGGACACTTAACCCTGCCTGAGCTCCAAGATTAATGACATGTGCAACACAACCTAGTAGCTGCTTCTTGCAGTCAAAACCAGGCAGTTGAAGCTCTAGTTCTTTTGCCATCTTGTTGTTCGTGGTTGCATTGTCGGCGGTGATGGTATGTATCTTATCCGTACATTCATATTTTGCGAGAACATCATAGAATAATTCGGCAAATTTCTTTCCACTGTGGCTGCCTAAACAAAAGAAAAAAATGGGCTTATTAGATTGGAAAATACAAGACAACAGAACTTGAAACTAAGACTTACCTCAAACATTTGGAATCACAATGGTTAAATCTACCATCTCAAAGTTTTCAGTGATAAAGTGTGCCGTTACTGCCATGAAGGCAGTGTAATTTGGGGCTGTCCAAGCATCCTCCGTAAATGAAACGTAATCCTGTTTAGCAAGATATCTCATCTTGATATTCTCCTGTGATGCCATATGCATCCGAGTCAGATGGTTCGAAATTCCAGTTCGGCAGGTGTTGTCCATCAGGGGCATTGCATCTTCATTCACAAGTCGGATAAGGTTGTGAAATGACTTCTTTTCGACAATAGAAAATGATAGATCGCAATCGGCAATGAAGTATACCAGAGCAGTTTTGAGTGACTCATTATTCAGCTCAACCTATAAAAATAACAAATAATCAGTGCATGACCGCGTCACAAAGCTTGCACTTCAGAACAGAGAAATGTTAACTAACTTTTGGCTCAAACTTTGAGTTCTTTGCCCATTTCTCTATATCAATCTGCGAGTTCGCCTTTTTCACAAGCTTTGGATCGGAGAGGCGATGCATATTCTTCAGATGCCCGTGGAGGTTCTTAGTGCTAGCACTTTTATCTCTCTTCAACTCTGAGCCGCACATCTTGCTGTTCTTGAGGATGACTTGGCAGATAGCAAATTCTCCCTGCGGTTTCAGATGGTTCCAAACCCAGCTACGGTGTGAATTCCCTGGTTTTGACCGGTTGTCATTGCCTGTGTCGCTGTTGTCATCCACTTCAATGACAGTTCTTGGTGGGTGGATTATTGCGGTGCTTTTGAGTTTGACTGTGCTTTCTCTTCATGATTGCCAAAGGAACAGATGACAGGATGGTCGAGCTGGTTGGCTGTGGACAGTGACAAAAAAAATTTGAAAACACCCGGGTGGTTCGGCATCTACCCGGGTATACTTCGGGTCGGGCACCGGGATGGGTATGACCCCCCGTCCCGAGCCCCGGGTTACACCTTTACCTCCACCTCAATATTTTTCCTCCCTTCACTTTCCACAATCCGTACCCTGTACCCTTACGTAAAACGTAAAGTACCCTTATTACACACTGCTCCTCCGTTCCATTCCTGGTCGAGACATGTTCTCCCACTCCTCCCCACGTATATACTTCCGCTCCTCCGTTCCATTCCTGGTCAAGATATGATCTCCCACTCCACTCCTTGTATGCACACCACTCCTTTGTTCCATTCCTGGTCAAGACATGTTCTCCCAATCCACTCATTGTATGTATTCCTGTCCGTTGTGGTAAGCCAATCTTGAATAGGAGGCCCACAAAATCAAAGCCTCAAGCACAATATCAAGCCCTCTGGACAACAATACTCTCAAGGATCAAGACAAGCCCCCTCTGGAATATTCAACCAACCTGCAACACCATGGATTTCACAAGACCAAGCCCCCAGGACAGAAGACACTCTGGATTCACATTCCATTCCTTTATTACATAATCACTTCATGCAGTCTTACATCATAAATCCCCATTCAGCCTTCCACACTTGGCCTCTGCATGTGTTTCACTCTAATCCAATTTCACTCTAGTCTCATTTCCACTTTGAGCCACATTTCACCGTTTCACACTATTCCTCTTGGGTCATTTACATGTCTCACACTAGTACACATCTGGCTGGTTAATTTACCTTTTTCGTATATTCTTCCTCCCTCATTGGTTGTGGCACATTTCATCCCTGCATGTCTCTGATGTCATTTCCCCCATTTATCTTAGTGTCGACCAATTGGGCCACATTGTTTC